TTTTTTTTTTTTTTTAATGTAACATGCGCTGCATAACTTCATGTTAGTTATAAATCTAACTACCTTATCTCTTTGTGTTACTAACTCTTGTCCTGTCATTCCTAAAAAGTCTCTTAATATGTCTTTTGCTAATTCTCTTAAAGCTCGTATTTTATACTCTGCTCTTGTTTCTGAGCAACTGACTTCAAGATGTAATAGTATTCGAGTATTTTCTAGATAGTCTAATAATACTCCTAATGTTTTATATCTTATATAATTGAAAAAATTTGTCAGTGTCATTCTATTCATCATTGAGTCATTAGTTTGAACTAATATTTTAATTGGTTAGTCCAAGTGACTATAAAATCTTCTTCATTAATTGCACAATCTATATTAATATTTCATTAGATAGATTTCTTTCATTTTGTAAATATGTTGGTGCTATATTTTTCTTTATTTTTCTTGACTATAACTATAATCCTTTATATATATATATGTATATATATATATATAATCTCTAAAATTTCTTTATGGATAATTATTCTGTGAACTAGATGTTTTATTGTTATTTGTTCTAGTTCGTTTTGGTGATAATAGTGGCGTTATATGAGGTTTTTTATCAGTCATATTAAATGTGAGTTCATCTTTATTATTTGCCATTCTAGTACTAATTGGGTTTACTTTATTATAATTTCTACAAGTGTTTCTATTTGTTCTGAAACTGTCAGTGGATCACTCATAATATTTTCCACTTTAAAAATTTTTCTTTAATAACTATTTGCCTTTTGTTAATTTTAATACTATTTCTAAATGAAATTTTTTCTTTTTAATTTTGCCTATAGCTAAATGGGGTTTGTAGATAGCACTTCAATTGCTACATTGTATTTTGCCTATTGGCTGCAGCACAAAAAGGGGGTGCCACTTATTCCTAATCATTGGAACTAAAAACAAATAAAATAATTGTTTAAAAAAAAAAAAAAAAAACTTAAAAGCTCCATAGAATAATGTTTCAAAAACTATTGATCTTTCCTCATGTGTATATACTATATATACATCCCAATCTCAAGTCACAACAAACTATTGTTAAGTTAAAAGGCATAGCTATCTATCATCACTCATCAACCCTTTAAATACAAAAATTCCACAAACTTCCCTCCAAAAGTTAGTTATTATGGCTGATCACTTCTTACCAGAACTGGAAAACCTTACACACTGTCTTAATTTGACAGATATTGATCCCAACACAGAGTTCAGCAATTTATTTCCAGGGATCATAGATAATCCAACACACAATCACCCCTTTGGCTCAGACATTCTTGACAATCTTTTTCCTCATTTGCTTTATCAGTCACATGGAAACTTGGATAGTTTAATCCCTGCTGGGTTATTACTCCATGAGGATAACAACAATACGGTGCCTCACGTTGCACTGAACGACTATGGTAATGGCGACAGGAAGAGGAAAGCAGCGGAAAAAAGCATCAGCCCTGCTAATTCATTCCCTCGTGGTTCGAAAAATGGGATTGGAGGAAAAAATGTAAGACCTTTTTTTTTTTGTTTTAATTAATTTCTTTGACTTCATTTTGGAATTATATGATTTCATTTCCATTGTCTTCTCCCTTCTCTTTTTTTTTTTTTTCAAGATGGTCTATTATGATACGATAAAATTTGCGCGTAGCGTAGATTACTTACTATTATGGCCTTAATTATTCTTGTACTAAAAAGACACTTTTTTTCTATTAATGCTTGTTGTGTTGTGTTGTGAAAGGGTGCAAGAAAAGGAAAAAGGGTGAAAGGCAATAATGAGAAGAAAGAGCAAAAGGCAAAGGAAGTTGTTCATGTTAGAGCCAAGAGAGGCCAAGCCACCAATAGTCATAGTATAGCAGAAAGGGTTGGTTTCAAATTATTCATAATTGGTGATTAGAAAGAGACTTCAATGATAGAAAATGCCCTAAAAGATTTAGTCTAATTACCAAAAATAAAAGCACCAAAAACTCATACATTAATTCTTGTAATTTTGATATATAAATATAAGTGGTTTTTTTTTTTTTTTTTTTTTTTTTTTTTTTTTTTTTTTT